ACCGTTTCCTGGAGCAGCTGCGCGGAGCGCACGTCCACGCTCCGAGGCATCGCGGCGCTGGCCCAGATGGCGCCCGAGGAGGGTACCGGGCGTGGCTGCGAGGAAGCCTCTGACAGCTTCGCCAAAGCGACCCTCAACTTGCAGCTCGGCCTTGCCCCGCGCGGAGCCGTGAAGGCCTGGCTGGGCGCGCGCGTCCTGGCAGGAGGCCGGGAGGAGCGAGACAAGGTGCGGCCGTTTGCCCTTGGCGCCAATCCACCGCCGTGCTGCCTCCAAGGCGGTGAGCGGGGTGTTCCGAGACAGGGGGGGGGGCGGCCGCCCTCGGCGACGGCGAGCGCTCCGTAGGAAAGGACAGAGGAGCGGAGCACATGCACACGGCAACCCTGCTGGCCCTGGACAGCCGGCCCGGGTGCTGCCAGCTGAGCCTGGGCGCGAGCAGTGCGCACAACGAGTGAGTACGACGGAGCAGCTGCTGTGCGGGCCGTCCGGGCGATGGCCCCGGAGCTGCTGCCGTGGACTCGCAGCGGTCTGGGCACGGCTGCTGTGCATGTGCACCTGGCGCGGGACGGCCGCCGCACGCTCCTCCCCAAGGAGCGAAGAGGCGACCAAGGCGCTCTCCCCGCTCTGCTGCAAACGCGCGGCAGACTCGGTGGGGCCGCCGCGGCAGAGCTGGCAACCGAGATGACTCGGACGTCATCTGCGCGCCAGCGGTGGCGGCGCAGGCCGAGGCAGCGTTCGTTGCTGCGTGCGCCCAGGGTGGCCTCCGCGGCAACCCGGTCACAACGCAGCTGAGCTTAGGGCGCTGCGTGGACGTGGCCGCGCTCCCCGCGCACCCGTAGGTGGAGCCGCCGGCCCTCGTGCTCCGCCGACGGCGCGCTGCCGACGGTGCCGGCCGCTCTGGCCGCGGCGCGAGCAGACCGCTGGCAGAGGCGACCGCCCGGTGCGGTGCGGAAGTCATGGCCACGGGGGCTGCTTGGGGGCGGGGAGGGGAGGGGCAGCGCGGTGCGAAAAGATTGTGGCCGGGGCGGCAGGGGGGCACGGGGCTGCGGGGGGGGCAGCGGGGAGAGGGGCGGGGGCGCTGTCCTGCGAGGGGGAGGGGGGGCGGTGTGAAAGCAAAATGGTCGGAGCTCTAGACGAAGCGTGCGAGAGAATAGTCGTCACAACTGTCCGTATGGCTCCCTCTGTCTCCACATGGCTGCCTCTGCTATCCGCATGGCTTCCTCTGGCAGCTCTGGTCCCGCATGGACTCCTGTGATATTCCAGTGGCTTCCTGTGGCTATCCCAGAAGCGTCCCAGCAATCGTCCAACAGTCGTCGAACTCGGAAGTAGAACATAATAGAGCCGAAGAGCGGAGGGAACAGTCGATGAGTAGAGCTGTGCAGGGTAATGCAGGGTAGGGTAGAGTAGGGCAGGTTGGAGTGGGCAAAGCAAGAACCGCGCAAAATAAAAGTAGCCAGGCCGAGCGAGCCAGAGGGCCCCGCCTATCTACGAATGACCTGTGGCACAAACTGAGGTTGGCATGAGGACGCGTTCCCACCTCGCAAACGGAAGGCGCGCTCGCGCGCGGCCCCGCTTCCAGGGGCTCGGCGGAGGGAAAATGACGCGGGCCGCGGAGGGGCGGGAGCGGCAAAACTTCCGCTGGGCGCGGCAGACGCGAAGCATGCGCCGCGCTGGCACAGCACTGACTACCTGCCAGACCACCGCAACCCAACCCGAAGACCCGAACTTGACCCGAATTCCGGGTTGAGGGGGGGGGGGAACGGTAGGTACGGGTCCCATGTGTTTTTTTCAATGCTCCCCGACCCCCCCCCACCCACTGGAAATGGAGGGCAAATGGAGGCCTTGGGGTTGGGTTGGGGTGGCTTGGTGGGTGGTGAAGCACTGCTTTGGACGCCCGAAATGGGTACTGAAGAAATGGGTACAATGCCCAACAACACATGTTGTCCCAAACCAACCGCGGCCGCTGTTGGGCAGGCGGCCCTCTGTCTCACTGTCTCAAATGGACCCAGGCCGCGGCGGCGCGGACGTCGAGCCCGGTTCAAAATGGGCAGGAACTGCTGTTGGGCATTGTGCCCATTCTTTCTGCACCCATGTCTCCCCGTCGCTTGGACGTCCATTCCCTGTGTTTTTTTCGGCTTCGTGCGTGCTTCTTTTGCTCGATGGTCCAGGATGGTCCTCGATGGTTCTCGCCGAGAAAAAAATGCACACGTCCGAGCGATGCCAAGATTTCGCTCGTGCTGAACTGCCGCGGCCGGCAGGTTCGCCCGCTCCCGCGCGGCCCCGCCGCGGCCCGTCGCCGGCGCGCGGCTCGGCGAGCAGGCCCTGCGCCGCGCCGCTGCGCGGGAGCGCATCGCCCCCGCAGCGAGCGGCGCGCGGACCCCGGGCGACAGGGCGGCGGGGCGCCCACTCGCGCGGGCTCCTCCTCCTCCTCCTCTTCCTCCTCTCCCTGTCCACCTCCCTGTCCTCACCTCCCTCCTCCTCCTCCTCCTCCTCCTCTCCTCCT